CCCCAAAACCCCAAAACCCCAAAACCCCAAAACCCCTTTTGTTGCCACCCACGTTGAAATTTTGCAAACCCTTAGATGATGTTTCTTTAAATAAGAGGGAAAGTGGGGAGAAAAGGTATCTAGTGCTTAAATATAGCTATACTGACGACAGAGGAGAAAGCCAACTAAGCTAGAGTTTATCTCCTCTGCCTACATATAGCACTAAAGGCCACTGTACTAAACCCTTATATGGATTAATGGCTAGGCTACTGCACAAAGTGGGCAATTAATGCATCTAAAGATTGTGTATTTTCTTTGCATTTCGATTCCCCATTTGGACTTGTTTACCGGCAAAATCATTTTATGAGAATTAATACCTGAGAGAATAATTATTAAGGATAACTCTGAAACTCAGTTTTTAGAAAGGATAGGATATGATGACTTAAAAGGAGTATCGGAAGTCAGAGTTAGATGAAACAGGAGTTTCATTTCACTGTAGATTTTCATGCCTTTCTCCATCCAGGTCAAGGTCAGCCCTCTCTTGGTTCCTTTTGAGAATTTCCTTTTCGAAATTTGATGGTTTATACTCATTATCATCTGCTAAATCAGACTCAGTGTTCTCTTGCTTGATGAGTCCAAAGCCTCCGTACTTGTTTTGGTTAAATTCGGGAAGAAATAAAGCCTGATCCTCCTGATTATTAAACACTAAGTTCTTATTCTTAGAGACTGGGAATGCAGGTTCGTGATTAATGGGAGGCAAGTCCTTATTTCACTCGAATCCCAGTTATTGGAATTGAAGTGGGAACTTTAAAACTTGAGATTGAACTATTTTTAGATTCCTTCCGAAAAATAGGAGGGAGCTTGATAGAATTGCTATTTCTACTATATTGTTTTGACTCGTTGGCACCAGTGCTACTTGCGACTCCACCAAATATTATAGCTTATCTGTATTTTTATTTTTAATTTGGTTCATCATCATTTCTTCAATTTTCTCCTGGTCCTCATTCTCAGTTATAAGATTATTATGTATGTTTATCAATTCTTTGGTTTTGTCATTTACTGGCTCTTGTATTTTTAAGGATTCTTGGATGTCTACTAACATTAATGAAACAGCTAATTAGAAAACAGAAATAGACAAGTAGTCCACAGGATTTTAAGACAAAGATTTACCCCTTTTGTTTTGAATGTCTGATTGTTTATCAAGATGGACTACTCTTCCGACTGATGACTTCCTTCTCTCGCTTTTATCAGGAACTGTTTTAATGCTGCTCTTGCTGTTTCCCATTTTCAATTTATATATTAATTATTGGGGTTTTGGGGTTTTGGGGTTTTGGGGTTTTGGGG